TAATTGCATTGTATTTTAAGAAAATGTTTTTACAGTGTATTACTTCTTGTGTTTGCATTAAAAATTGCACTGTGTCCGCCTCTCCTATGTAATTTTGTTTTTTAATTATTTGCTACATTTTCCTTAAATCAATAAATAAAACATGTTTTTTTTTAAGATAATACTGTCTGTCTAAAGTCTTTTTAACTGGAGAGAAGGTTATTTTGGTTTAGCGATCTTTATCTAGTATTTGGTTTTCCACGGTAAATTATTTTTAAGTACAGAGGGAGATTTTTTTTTTGTCATTCATTTATCAGTGAGATACTTTGGACATAAACATAACCTTTGACAGCGAACACTGACCTCTGAATCAATGTCTAAAATGTCAGCTATTCATAGAAAATAACTAGGACCTACGATATTCACCAACAAACAAAATACAGGATGTTGAAAAAGCAGTTCCAAGCAAGGTGTTAGTCCAAGTCGCTCTGATGCTGAGGCGTTGCCAGAAACTTTTTGTAAGGGTGGCCAGGCAAAAACCAATGAACACTGAGGGGTGCCCGAAAGTGGATACTGTAGGCACCAGAACCTCAGGGTTAAGCTACACTGTTCCAAAAGCAAAATTAACAAGCACAACATCCATAACTATACTTTCCTACAGCCTTTTCTAACAAATAGACGCATATATTTAAACAGCTGTGCTTTCAAGATAAAATATATAGTGAGTTAAATTCTTTCAGGTTTGAGTTCTGGGGCGGACATCTTTTCTATTGTCATTACTTACCTACTTTTATCAATAATCATTCTGCATAAAATGTATATTTACAAGTACTAATATCTACATAAACTGATTGCTTAATAAGTTTTTATTAAAATGGTTATTTATCTATGATTTCACTGAAGACTCAGAAATGACTTGTAGAGAGACATAATTCTCTCTTTACCCCATAAAACACAAAATCTAGTTCTGAAAAGTGCATGAATTCTGTACTTATCATCTTTAATGTTAGTATATCGATGTGTATAATTAATTGCTTTTTGTTGTCAATTAATTGTTACTATATGAAAAATTTAAATGTTTTAAATATTCTACTTGAGATTATTACTGCTGACACCATCTGTATTAGAGGGAAAAAATTGGTAGGGGTGGCCACATGGGTGGCCAGTGATTGGCTAAGGGTGGCCATGGCCACCCCTGGCCCCCCATCTAGCTCCGCCCCTGCTCTGATGCGGTGGTGGTTCTTGCCTGAATGGCATTCAATGCCATTTCTGTTCCCCTTTGATAAAAAAAATGCAAGTTTTCTGAGACTGGGCTGAGATAAAATCTTGTGAACAGTTTTCATATTCCAAGAAGACACCAAAGGGTGCAGACTGATAACAGAGAGGTGCTGACTTCCCATCTATGTGTAAGAGACAATGCAAACCTGCTCCAGTTCCACCAGATTTCTTCTTTCCTCTCGTCGCTGGTCCAAACCTGATGGCACCCTGGGCAGTTTGTATCAACGCCATCTCTGCTCCAAAGCCTCTTTTAAAGCATTTTGTCTGAGGACATAAAAAAGTACCTTAAGTCCACTTGTTGCTACTTTAAATTGATCTAGAGAAATTCCAGCACACAACCTTTTCCACAGTCAATATAATATTTGACCAATATAATGACAGCAGTTATTTTAGCATGGTTGTACCAAAAATAAATAAATAAACTAAAATGTCTAAGAAATCTAAAAAAAATTTCAATTGGCCTTTACAAAAACATGAGGCTATGGGTGCAACAGTTGTTATAAAATGTTGCTCAGCCAGGTTTACATTAAACTATCCCTGAACCATCCTAGCCTGAAGCTTTTCAGCTCCAGATAGAATTGGGAAAGACATTAAAAGGTTGAACAAATGCACCACAAAGCAGCACTCAACATTTCCATTAGTACCTTTATTATTGATGCATTTCTCATCAGCTGAAAAATAACAGCAAACACCATTCAATTAAGGAGAAAGGATTGGCACTTATCTAACAAAGATGCAATTTAAATGAAGCTGTGCCAGCTAGCAAACCTTATGGACCAAAACATTTACATTAAACATCTTTCTGACTAGTTTCATTATGACGGGGCAGTGTATTTCCCATCTAATTCTCAGATATAAATACATTTTAAACAAAAACATGGACAAAATATTCAGAGTACATGTGTCGGCCAATGACTCATCTGCTAATGCAATGATGGTGGTGAGCCATGCAGGCTACTTTTGAGAGTAATCTAAACCACCGAAAAATTACGAGCTAGGGAATAATAGACAAACATCTCTTCAAATGTTTCCTGTCAGAAGAGATATTTCCAAGTGATTAAAGCTGCTGTGCAAAGGCAGGTTTTAGGTCTGGGTATATGAATGTGTGTGAAAACTAGTAAAGTTTATTGGCCTCAAAAACTTACCTGACTTATTGAACACATAAAAAAGTGCAAAAATGTTAATAACCGATTTTTTTAAGCTATATTTACCTCCAGCCTGAGAGTTACAGCCCCCCTGAGACGTCAAAAGCTATGAGATATTTAGAAATGATATTTAGAAATTTATATATGTATGTATATATATATATATATATATATATATATATATATATATATAAACTATTTTCTCACTCCTTGTGGGGTGGTATGTAGGGGTGTGCAAAATAATCGTGATGATGATGCATCGTGATTCTAATTTTCGTGATCTACTGCATTATTAATTTTAAAAAATGAATAAATAAAATTGCATGAATGGTTGGCGAACATCAGCC